GCCTACCTAGGCTTGGGTAACACCAAAAGGAGTAAGAGAGACCCCTTCGTTAACCCAAGGTCATCTGGTATCTTTTGTGCTCCTGGGCCACCGAGACCCATTGCAATATGCCCAGCCTCTCCTGAAATGTCATCAGTGGTGCAAATAAAAGGGGCTCACTAGTTCCTGGGGTTTCCCCAGGAGTGACTGTGGGCAAACCAGCCCTGCAACTATTGCAGACAAATCGTTGTGATCATTCACGTATGGCCTCTCGCCCTGGGAGCACGACCATGGGTGAGTGTCTGGGTAGACCACGTACAGAACCGTGGCAGAGCGGAGGGTCACAGAGAAGGTCCTGGGACTGAAAGTCCTGCCCTACTTGTCATGTGGCTGTAGACTAACTCCTGTCTCATAATGATCTCAATTTTCACATTTGTGAACAAAGGGAATTGGTGGATTATCTCTAAGGTTCGTCCACATATGCTCTGTGTCTCTCTCCAGCTTGTGCTTAACTCCTGCCTTTCTTCTCATCCCTCACAGGCACCTTCCTCTCCATAGCTCCACCTTTTCCGGGACGAATGTAACTCTCCTGCTGCTTCTCTCCCTCTCTTTGGAGCAGACATTCGCATGGTCATCCAAAAGAGTCGAAAGTGGGTTCAGAAAAGCGGCAGCTGCTCTTCCTTAGCAGGCATTCTTGGAGACGGAGGGTTAGACATGAAGCAAGGACTTGTGTTGTTGGATGAGGGCCACATCTACTACTGTGGCTTCAGAGAACTAGACCTGCTCACCCACCCTGGGCCCTTCAAATCCTTCCCTCACCTGCTCCCCCAAAATTATTTTCCTAACATTTCATGATATGTGTCTTTTCCAAGTTTAAATTTTTTTTAAAAAAATTGATCAGTCATTAGACAGGAGCCTGAGGGCAAAGGAGCAGTGAGGAGGCTGTTGAAATTGATGAGGCAAAAGTTTGGGGGAGGTCAGGTGCTGACCTGAGGAAGTGATAATAAAGAGGGAGAAGAGATGGGGTTTGGAGGGGGATTTAGAAGCTTAAATTGACCCAAGTCCAGGACTGAAAAGATGCTGGGGTGTCAGAGAGGGAGGAGTGACTCTCAGGGCTCTAATAACAGACTGGGGGACTATTGATGTCAAATATCGAAATGAAACCAGAGAGAAGTTGCTACTTCGGCCTAGGGAGACACTGGTTCAGCTTTAAACATGGTGCAGCAGAGGTGCTTACAAGGTGCCCAGTGCCATTTCCCCCAGGCGGTTGGATGTAAGTACTTAGCCTGGAAGAGAGGATAGGTCTGGAGGCAGATAAGGGAATCACAGTTGTGATTGTCATGGGAATGGATGTGCTCACCCAGGAAGTATGGGTTGAGTAATAACAGGAGAGGGCAGAGACCAGAACTCTGGGGGAGGGTCCCCAGTAACTGCAGAGGAACCCCTGGGGGATGTGTATCATGGAGGAAACTGTCCGCACAAGGTAAGTGACTGGGAACAGCTGACAGGGAGGAGGGAAGAGTCTACGTGAGAGTTCAAGCCGGCAGAGGAAAGGAGCTACAATGACTGAAACAAAGGTTTAAATGGCCCCCGAAAACAGGAGGCGGGCAGAACTGGCTGAGTCAGTATCGGTGAGAAGGGAAGTTTGTCTGCATGATCCCAAGGTTTCTATGCCTCTTTAGTTCTTTGGAGGTGTTCCTATGTGATTTGTGTAACTCTCCCTGTGCCCAAACCTAGCACAGTGGTGCCCAAGTGGTAGCCTACATCATGGTACCCAGCTGGCTGCTTCAGGATCACCTGAGACTTTAAAACATCTGAGTCCCTAGGCCCCACTTTCTAGAGCTTCTGATTAAGCCCATGATCTATATTTCCTAAAATAAGACAAATGATTTGGATGTGCAGTCCAGATTAGGTACCATACACCCTTCTTAGCTTCAGGACATCCTTGGAGGGCACATTAGGGTGGACTGAAGGGTAAGAAATATAGTTGGAAAGTATTAAAAGTCTCAGTGGCTAGTCCTCCGGAAAGATGTGGGGTGAGTCATGGATTGGAAGTCCTAGACCTGCCCTTAATTCACTGTATTATTCCTATCCGACCTCATTTATTTTTTATTTTTTATTTTATTTTCTTTTTAGCTGAGCCATCCTGCCACCTGTTGGCAGCTCAGCGGCAGCTCAGCTCGGACTGGGCATCGAACCGCTGTTGCTCAGAGCTCAAACTCTTGAGCGAGCTCTTAACCAACTGAGCCACTCGGCCAGCCCTTCATTTTTATTTTTAACCTATGAAATTAGGAGGTTGATACTAAGGATAATTATGATGTTTCCAATTCTAATCTGGAATTCCAAAAAGATCATGCCTCTCTGGCAGATGACGCCCCACTGCAGAGATGCTCAGTTTAGAGCCAGGGAGCCACTGAAGCACTGGAGTAGCTCTTCGTTGCTGCGTCACAAATTACCTACAGGTGAGAAGCCGGGCACGGGTTCTCTGCTCAGGTTCTCACCAGGCTGATATCAAGGTGTCAGCCAAGGCTGCAATTCACATCTGGGACTCAGGGTTCTTGTCCAAGCTCACTGCTTGTTAAGAGAATCGTTTTCTTGCAGTTGCTGGCCCGTGGTTTCTTTGCTGGCTGTTAACTTCTAGCAGCCACTCTTATTCCTTGGCCCTTAGCCTCCTCCGTCTTCAAAGTTACTAGTCTAATAGCATGATGGGTTCCTCTTATACTTCGAACCTGTCTGACCTCTTCTCTACCAATCAGGAAAAAACCAAACCAAAACAAACAAACAAAAACTCTTCTTTTTAAAGGACTCAACACATTGGATCAGGCCCACTTAGATAATCTCTATATTTTAAGATTAACTGACTTGGGACTTTAATTCCCTCTACAAAACCCTTCACAGCAGTACCTAAATGAGTGTTCGATTCAATAACCAGGGGACAGGAATCTTGGGGGCACAACTTTAGAATTCTGCCTACTATAAGCTGAAATCAGGAAGCCATGTTTAGCCCTAAAAAGAAAGGAAGCAAACTCATATCTGTTAAGCTCTTACCATGTGCCAGGCACTGTGGTAAGTGTATTACAGCCATCATCTCACTTCATTCTTATAAGCAGCCTATAAGGTAGAGATTGTAATTCTCATTTTACTGGTGGGGAACTTATGACTCAGACAAAGGAAGACATTGTTTCCTAAGACTATTTAGCAAGTTGTGTTGGGGTCAGTCTCCCAAGCCAGGTCTGTCGTACTTATAGTGCACCTTCCACTCCACCATTTCCGCCCCCCCACCCCCTAAAGGTAAGTGGGAAGTCATATAGTGGGACTCTATATTGGTCTTGAGCTCACACGGAGTCAGGGGCCAAAACCAGGGCTCCTGACTCCTATTTCCATGATATTTCCACCACTCCTCACTAATTAATTTCCTGTCAATGAAGATACTACAGACAGAGAGATCGGGCATTAAAATATTAAGAGGGGTCAGAGGAGCTCCTGAATTTAAGGCAAGGGTCTTGGTGCCTATTTAACCTCCTGCCCTGGAATCCAAGAAGCTTCTCCTTTAGTTCTACCTGGGCACAAATTCCTGATTCAGATCTGTCTAAATGGACTACGAGTGGTGAGAGGTAGAACCAGTCCCTCAATACAAACTGAGCAAGAACTGAAGATTAAAGGTAGAGACTAGGGTAAGAGAATTCCACTGTTCACTTTTGCCATCGGAGAAGAGCTGAAAGTCTCAAGGGATGTGAATTCAGACACGTTTTTCTTGCAGGGAAACCAGGAACGTGCCCCGAAGAGAGGCTCACCTGTAGGGCTACCATTCCAAATTTGTGCAGAACAGATTTCAACTGTGATGGATATCTGAAGTGCTGCTCTTTTGCCTGTGGGAAGAAGTGCATAGATCTATACGAAGGTAGTGGCTTCCAGGCTGAGGGCAGGGGTGCCTTTCCTGCTTCCTGCTCAGTCCAGAACCGGCTGAACAATTGCCTGGGATGGCAGGATAAAGAGGCTAGGGTTCATGCTTTCCTCCTTCTCTAATTAGACTCCCAACATTCAAGTACATGCTCATGGTATCCAGAGACTATGGTTTGCACTGTGGCAGATATAAACCTCAGTCAGCTTAGATGCTGGGGTTGTTGATGGACTCTTGGGTCTCTAAGGAACTTCTCTGGTAACTCAAAGTATTGAGCATCTAATCATAGGGAACTGTGCATTTTATATAGATTCATTCAACAAATATCTATTGTCAATGCCCGCAGGCCAACGACCACCAGTAACACGCCTAAAGCTGAACAAATTAGGTTTATTACTCATTGCAGTGAAGGAGAATGCTTCCCATAGAGAACCTGAGGCATCTCAATGAGAAGCTGCTAGAAAGAATCCACTACAGGATTGAGGTTTAGATTGAGTAATTTCGGGGAGGGTCTAAAGAGGGGTGGGTTTGTTCTAGATTGGATGCTGTCAGAAAGTGGGGGCAATTCTGTGAGTACCTGAGTGAATGTTATCTACAGAGAAGGCCGGCTAGAGAGAGGATAAAGCTGTAATTTGTAGAGAAGCATAAATCACTCATAGGTGTTTGGTATTTTGTGGGGTTCACAGTGATCTTTGTTTGTTCTCTCTTGATCACAGTCTCAGAGTGACCCTGTTTGCTGTGGATGTCCTCTGAGATTGTTTATGTCCAACAGAGGAACAACATGACTTAGCTGTGAGCGTCAGATCAGTTTCTAGGCACGAGAGGCTGCTTTTTCTCTCTCTTGGTATCTCATTCCTTCTGTGTGTCAGGTATTGTCTTAGGCACTTTGGATCTGTTGTAGTTGCTGAACAAGTCTTGCCCTTCTGAAGCTCAGAGCAATGAAGAAGAAAGATCAGCTCCAATGTATTTTCATATGCTCTTCACTCGATCCTTTGCCAGGTAGAAGTGATGCTCAGAGATGCTATGCAACATAATGTATTCGTAATAGAGCTAGGATTACAACGTTTATTGACCATGGCTCTTTGAATGGTAACACCATGAACTCCTGACCCCTCTTTTGCTACCTTTCATGTTCTTCCCTCTTTGCTTCCTGCCTTCAGAACCCTGCATGCTACTCTTAGACCCAGGATACTGCAACAGTGTGACACAGCGCTGGTATTTTGACGTAAACCATAAATTATGCCTCCCCTTTAAGTATGGAGGTTGCCTTGGGAATGCCAACAACTTCTTAAGCAAGGAAGACTGCCTGAAGGCTTGCGCATTAACTGGTAAGACTCATATCGTTGGCAATCTGAGGGTCTAGTCTTACTAGACCTAGAATACCAGCACAGTTATAGGATCAGGCTTTGAGGCGACACTGCCTTGGTTCAAGTCTTAGCTCTGTCATCCCCTGGCTGGTTGGTCTTGGGTCAGTTGCCTACCTTTTTGAGTTTCAGTTTTCTTGTCTATAAAATGGGGATAATAACAGTGTTTACCTAATGGAGCTGTGCCAAAAAATGAGATAGTGCACATAAGGTGTTAACAAACTTTGGCCAATGGGACCTGGGAGCCAAGCCTACCCCTTGGAAGCAGGTGTTTCCTCATCGCATTGACCTGTTGAGTATCACCTGGGGGCGCTCACCCGAGAATCAATCATAGACGGGCCAGCTCTGGAGTCCATGTTGCAGGGGCAGAGCATTACAGTATAGGTGAAGTGTAGGGTGAGCAGAAGGTGAGGGTTGTGAGTTTATTCCTTAGTATAATGACCATCACCAGTGATGTTGGGAGAGAGGGTCTTACGGAGCTTTGGAGCCAAGTGATCTGGATTAGATTCTACTTTCCTGGCTTACTGCAAATTTCTTCACCTCCCTGAGTTTCAGTTCTCTTCCCTGTAGCATCTGAATAATAGCAAAGACCTTATTGAGTTGTTGGTAGGATTATATGTGATTGAGGACACAAAGATTTGACATGGTGGCTGTCCGGGAGTGTGGGGTCACTAAAAGGTGACAATTGAGATGGTGACCATTGATCTTCAAAATGCAGCCCTGTGCGATTTATGGGGCAGCATTAGAATTTTAACCTCAGATAACATAAAGCAGGATGAAAAGTGTCCCATCATCACCATTTTATTGACAAGGAAACAGAATCAGAGTAGTTAGTTGTCCAAGGATTCACAGTGGGTCGAGGGAGAGCTGGACTTCTAATTTCCTGGGGCACAGTGAGCCTGAAAGGCCAAGGCAATCCTGATCTGATGAAACTAGGACCACAAGCTTCCCTTTGTGGGTGGCTGTAAGTAATCATGTTGCTATGGATAAGACCTGGCCCTGTCTCAGGAGCCAACAGTAACAAGAGACCAGGGAAATGGGCTTGGGGTAGTTTGTGGGAAATTAGGTTTGGGCTTCACAGAACACCTGACACTAGCTCTGAGAATCAAACACACGACAGTCTGAGTCTGAGTCTGATTTGAGAAAGAAGAAGAAAAAGAAACACTTCCCACCCTCATAGAATTTGCAATCAGATGAGGACAACAGGAGACAGGCACAAAATCCTGAAGAATTAATTTAAATGTTACCTGTGTCCTAGTGACCCACAAAGTTGTATCTCTAGCCCAAATCTGATTCCCAAACCCCAATTGATTACTCTATACACACACCTCATGCTTACCTTGTCTAAAACTGAATACTGTATCTTTGCTCTCCCATCTCAAACCTGCTGTATCCATAGTTCTCCCTATCTTGGTTGAAAAAAACTTCTAAATCACCCTTGATGCCTCTTTCTCAATTAACATCCGTTAAGTTAGGAAGTCATTTTATATTTACCTTGAAAATAGATCCAGAATCTGACCACTTCTTACTACCTCTCCACCCTGATCTGACGTGCCATATTCTCACCTGGATTACAGCAGCAGCCTCAACAAATTTCCCTGCTTCTATCTTTCTCTTTTTATACTGTATTATTAGCACAGTAGCCAACACAATGATCCTTTCAAAATATTAGTCAGATCATGTCACTCCTTATTCCAAATAAAACCAAATCCTCTGAAATGGCTTATATTGTATAGATTTCACATAATTACTCCTATTTTATAGAGAAGGAAACTGAAGTCATTCGTTAAGTGGCAGGACTGGGACTTGACCTTGGGGCTTCAAACACCAACCCTAACTCTCTTTCTACTACGTCCCATGAAATGGCGAGGTATTTCATTATTTCACAGCCTGCCAGTGGTGGACGGGGCAGAATGAACCAAGTCACAGAGATACTAGTTTGGAAGAGAAGAAAAAACTGTTTGCAGGGTGGTAGGATGGGGTGTGGTTTGAAGGAGCTCACATCTGCTCTTGTTTTAGACAAGAAAGGACTGTGCCCAGCCTTCCCTTTCAAGGACCAGATGCAGTGTTCAACTTTGTGTAGGAGTGACAATGATTGCCCTGATATTGAAAAATGTTGTGACTCCACCTGTGGCTTTGTTTGTGTCACTCCCTGGAAAGGTGAGTTCTGGGGTATATTTCCCAGTCTACTGGGCTGAGGTTGCCATGCTGTCTCTTAGATTGACCTTAGATCTTTAGGGAACCTTTCCCCTTTTAATGCCCAACCAATGCTCTCAGGTTGCCCTCCTGATCTTGGGAGAGTATTGTGCTATTCTTCAAAGCCAACCATGCATGGTTATCACTCCCCATTTTTCCCCATGAAAACTAATTTATTCTGAGTCTCATTCTTCAATGGCCTACAAGATCACGGTCTTCACTTATTCATACAAAAAAATCATAACCATTGGGTGTATTCCTAAGAAGCCCTTATGTCTGCACAGAACTTCAGAGCATGTAGAACATATTCACATTCTGTAGGGTGAGCTGGGGAAAAGATTGGTAGCAAAATGTTGTTGGGATAGAAGTGAACTCTCCAGCCTCTAAGGCTAGCTCACTCCCCGACTAGATGAGAGACCATGGTTGTTAATGTTTTGAGGTACAACATGACATGGTAGGAGTCAAAGGCTTGACAACTTAAACTTTTCTACTGGTTTTCCGTGTGGCCTTAGGCAACTCACTTCCCCTTCTATGGTCTTCAATTTCTATAGTTTACAAAACAAACAAGCTCAGGGTAATCTGGAATACTCCTTCTACCTCTGGTACTCTGGGATTAGATAACCCAAATCCATTAATTCTGGAGGGGCAGGCAGGAATACCATCAGATTTTATAAGTCAGAGATGGCAAGACTTTTTCGATGTTCCTCAAAGTATTAGCCATAGAAATGTGATCCTTTGCCTCCTTCACTCTATTTTTACTCTAGGGAGTAGGGTAAGAGGCTTAATCAGAAGAAAACCCTGTTTAGCATTCCCAAGATTCCCCAAATTGGTCTCAAACTATGATCGAGAGTTTCAAGGTCAAGTGTCTTGTTTTATCCCATAAAGTCAAAGCAGGTTTCTGTCCACAAAAGCCCTCACTATGTTCCAAGATTGATAAACCCAAGTGCATGAAAGATGAGGATTGCCCGTTGTCAGAGAAGTGCTGTTTACGTTGTGGATTAAAGTGCCTGGAACCTAAAGATTAGATAGTAAGTAAAAAATATTATCATCAAAATAATTAATTGTGAGTAGCATAATAAAAATCTATCAATTTTGTCTTGAATCCAACTACCTTGCCAAATTGTCTTATTAAGTGTAACTATATGTAATAAAGTTACTTTGATTTTACATATAATTGTATCATCTGACAATGCTGATAAATTGGACTCTTATTTTTTCCAACTGCATGACTTACTCTGTTTTCTTGTCTTATTATACAGAACCTCCAAAATAATGCTGAAAATAAAGGTGATGGCATCTATCCCTATCTAGTTTTTTAATTTTAAAGTCAGTGTCTTCTGCTGTCTAAAATGATATTTGTTGTTGGGTTTGGGATTCACAGGTTTGATCACACTTTGATTGTTTCTTTTTTATCCATTTACATATGCTATTGGAAATTACTGATTAATTTTAGCAAATCTCTTTTGGACATCTAGTCATATAATAATTTTTCTTTTACAATTTGTTGGTATAATAACTTATATTATTGAATTTTCAATGTTGAACCAGCCTTGCATTCCTAGAATTACCTTAATTGTATTGAGGATATATTTGTATTAATACACTGATGGTTCTTTTAGCAAATAGTTTATTTAGAATTTTCACATCTATAGTCAAAAGAAAAATAGGTCTATGACTTTTGTTTGTTTTACTATTTGCATCATACTACTTTAAAAAAATAGCAAGGAAAACTAGTTGGGAAATTTATCTATTTTTTATGATCTGTAGTATTTTAAATAATATATTGGTTCTCTGATCCTTGAAGGTTAGACAAAACTCCAAAAGCATCTAGGTAAGGTTCCTTCTATAATGGTATATTTTTACTAATCTATTTTGTACTTCATCTTATAGACTGTAAAGGCTCTCTACCTCCCCTTCTGTAAGTTTTGGTCTTTTATATTTTGCTAAAATGGATCAGTTTTTTCTCTATTTTCAAATATATTGTTTCAGAGTAGTATAAATTATTATCTATATAATCCTTTACATATATTTAACTTTGGTTATTGTTTTCATTCATACATTCATGTTTTCATTCCCCCACCTATGCACCGACCATTCAGTCCATTTACTCACCTATCCATGCACTCATCTAGCCCTCTAATAGACATGCCTTTCAACTTATCTATCTTCCCACCCATCCTTTCGCCCATATATCCCTCCATTTATATTTTTCTCATCTTTCTTTTACCTATTCAGTTGCCCATTTTAAATCCAGCATTTCTCCCATCTACCTATCCATCTTTCACATGCACACATTCTCTAATACCCATCCACATACTTACTTCTCCATTATTTCTATACCCATGTCCCATCCATCTACCTACCAATCCACTCTGCTACCTTCCATTCAAATAGCTTCCATCAATGGACCCATTCATCCCATCACTAACCTAACCATCCTATGTTCAACCCAATCCACTTCTTCATGCAGCCATTTGTCTACCCATCCTATCCATGGACTCATGCACCCAAATATCCATGCTACCCTCACCCATCCTTCTTCTTATTAATCCAACTCTCTCCCCATTCATCACAATATGAGCCATTCATTCATCCACATATCCACCTACCAATCCCCCACCCACCTTGCGCATCCAGCAGAATGTACTGATGTTTGTTCTGGGCCTATTCATGTTCTGAGCACTAGGTTCTAGGTATAGATCTGTTCAACAGAAGCGCAGAGTTTATTTGTGGAAACAAACATGAAACTCAGTAATACAGTTAGATGCACAGGGAACAACCCAGAAAGCCAGTGACAGGAAGTCACAGCACAGGACAGGTCTTGGTCTAACGAATAAGCAGGAATTTCCAGGTAAAGAACATCTACCTTAGTGTTCTTTGGAGTCCCTCATTCTGAACCCAGGATTGGTCCTAGAACAGAAGTGTGGCTGAGGCAGAGGTAGGCCACCATGACCATCAATGAGAGGAGATAAGAGAAGACATGAAGCAGCGCCCAGTAGTTGCCCCCCCCCACTACCAGTAGAGACCTTGCAGGGTCTCTGCCCCCACCTTTCCTTGATCTATAGCTTAACAATAGATCATCCCCCTGTGGCTTGACCTTGAAATGTCCCCTGTCCCAGTTCCCTGTTTTAGAAAATTTCCCTGAAATGTATGATTAATACCTTTAGGCTTATTGATCACAGTCCCTGTGGTCTAGCATTCCTTCCAGGCTAATCTCATCATTGTCCCTGGGTTGCAGACACCACTGGAGAACTATGTTGCCAGAGGGAAGGCTCCCTGCAGACCCCCAACCATCACATAGCCTCTGGAGTAACGCCTAGATTTTCCTTTAAATACCCTAAGCCAGTCTGAGATTGTAAAGGCAGTTTTTGAAGGTGTTAACCTGCTGGCTTCTCAGATCACCGGTGCTCTGACAATAAACACTTATGCTAAAGCCCAACTCCTGTGTCAGTCTATTGGCTGAATGGCAGCAGATAGTATGAGCCCCAGACTCGATTGCCCTCTGGTTTCAGCAAAGACAAAGACCCAGGTGTATCCTTTCCCAGCCTTCTCCAAGAAATTAGGTAAGGGAAGGTGCTAAAAACGTCATTCATTCTAGGCTCCAAAGACATAAATTTTATCTCCCCTGCTTGGAAAGTGAGATCCTTAGGTAGGGCTGGAAATTAAGCAAGACAGAATGAGATAGAACAGGAGTTGACAAACTTTTAAGACGGAAGAGCCGCCAGGGGTCAGCAAACTGGCTCGCGAGCTGCAGACTCAGAAGTAAAATTGAAAATGAAAATAAAACTATTATAGTTTCATTTATAAAATTTTTAATGGTGATTATGTAAAAATATATTTATGGCTCTCGAATAATTTTTAAATTGTTGTGAGGGACAAGATTGGCTCTTCCCGGGGTCGGCAAACTTTTGAAAGGGAACGTACCCAAAGAGCTGCATGTGGCTCGCGAGCCGCAGTATGCCAACCCCTGGGATAGAACAACAAGAAATTCTGAGTTTTCATTTACTTTCAAGAGAATGTGAGAAAAATTCACCTTATTTGGGGGCCGTGGGAACCATTTGGACATTTAAAGACTCTGTGGTCTTTAGCCTCTGTCCTCACTAAAGACATCACCTTGATTCTCTTTAGACCCACTAGCCCTCTCCACTCTCAACTCCATAGTAAAGTATTATATCCACACACATATCAGGAGATTCCCTAGTAACCTGTGGCAAGAACTTAGACACTCAGCTTTCTCTTGACTTTATCACTGACACTCACTTGCTGGGTTACACTGAGTTATCTGCACGTTTCTGGGCCTTATGATCCCTAGCTACAAGATGAGGAAATGGGGCTTGAGGGAGTCCTTCCACATAGATCTTTTGCTTTTCACTCCCTCCTGGGCTGAGTTTGGGAGAATGAGGGTGGCAGAATAAGAGGGGCAGTGCTACTTAAGACATCTTGGTTGTTCATTAGAAATTCTGTCCTTCAATCTCTTTGCTGGATGTCATGAAGTTCGTGAGATCGGATTCTGTAGTTTAAGCACCTGACTTTAAGCCAGCGGTTCTCAACCTGTGGGTCGCGACCCCTTTGGGGGTCAAACGACCCTTTCATAGGGGTCGCCGGGTACTTGTATGTGGGCGTATCTGCATGTAGGCCTGGAGACTAGAGGAGCGGTGTCTCGGTTCCTAAGACCATCGAAAATATGTGTTTTCCGATGGTCTTAGGCGACCCCTGTGAAAGGTTGAGAACCGCTGCTTTAAGCTTTTGATTACCAAGGCATTTATTTCAAGGGCATCCGTCCTGAATAAACATACTGCCAGAAGTATGATGTAGCTATTAGCAAAACAGCTAGATAAGGAACCAGGTTGCTCCCACCCATTAAGTTTCCCTTTTAGAAAGCCCTGAGTAACTTAGATAACTGATCACTTGATTGACCCTGTTTCATGCTTTAAATTCTCTAATAAAGAGTGAACGTGTGAAACCCTAGACGCTCCACACTTGGACCTTAATAAAGGCAGAGCCGCAGGTCTGCACTCTCTCCCCCTCTCTCTGCCCTCAACCTTGCTGTGTAGCCCTCCAGCCTGCCATGTAACCTCCAGGATCTGTGAGTAATAAATCTTGTTCTTCAAAGTTCCCTGATGGTTTTGTAGAGGTGAGTCCTGCAGTCATAATAAGAACCACAGGGCTGGACCAACCACAATACTGACCCTGGTGGTAAAACTGGAGGGCAGCTGAGTCCAGGGCTTGTGTTGCCTGCTCTGCTCAGCCACTCGCCAATAGACTGACACAGGAGTTGGGCTATTTAGAATAAGGGTTTACTGTCAGAGCACCAGTGGTCTGAGAAGGCAGTGGGTTAACACCTTCAAAAACTGCCTTAACATTCTCAGACCAGCTTAAGGTATTTTAGGGAAAATCTGGGCATTTCTCCCGAGGCTACGTGATGGTTCAGGTGGTCTGCATGGAGTCTTCTCTCTGGCAACTGGCTCTCTGGTTGTGTCAGCAACCCAGGAACAATGATGGGAGTAGCCTGGAAAGAATGCTAGACTTAGAGATTATACTCAATAAGATTAAGAGTATTAATCATAAATTTCAGGTTAACTTTCTAAAACAGGGAACTGGGACAGGGGATATTCTGAGCTCAAACCACAGGGGGATGATTTATTGTTAAGTTATAGGTCAAGGAAAGGTGAGGCTGGGGATGTTGCAAAGCCCCTACTATGGGGGTCCCAACCGGGTCTTGCTTCAGTGGTAGTAGGCGGAATGTCTGTAGGGCTCACTACAAGAGTAGATACAGAAGGTTAAAAAAAAAAAAAAGTTTGGGTATATGGATTTGGTGGAAGTTCCTGAACTAATAAAATAGTTATTTGCACTTAAAAAAAAAGTACATACAACCATGCATTAAGTGCCTCAGGCAGTCCTAGCCGAGAACATCACAATCAATAGGCCGAGGGGCTCTGTCTGTGATCCTAAATTTTGTGACCATATAGTCACTCACTGATGATAAGGCTGGCTTTGTCAGGCTTCTGTATATCAGGCAGGACAACTGGAGAACCAAGTTTGGTCCCAAAGTGTGATACCTACTTAGGGAAGGAAACAGGAACCCTACAGATGACATTTACTCTGAAGAGTTTCTCAGGGCCAGCCGAGTGGCTCAGTTGGTTAAGAGCTCGCTCAAGAGTGCGAGCTCTGAGCAACAGCGGTTCGATGCCCGAGCTGAGTTGCTGCTGAGCTGCCAACAGGTGGCAGGATGACTCAGCTAAAAAAAAAAAAAAGATGAAGAGTATCTGTCCCTCTGCAAAGAACTGGTGGGCTGGCTCGTGTTATGGATTCCGTGGCTGTAGAAAGCTGCCAAGTGGTCCAGCACTCTCTTTCCAATAGCCCCTCCACTATTCTAGTTAGAATCCAGCAACTCTGCTGAGTTATTGACCTTTATTGCATTGTGGTCTCTCAGGCAGGTCTCTTCATTTCACAGTTCCTCCTCAGACAACAGGGGGTTTGTAGCAGATGGTAGAAGCTCCCTGTAAGATCTGACGTTCTCTCCTACTCTCAGAGCAGCACAACCTTGACAAACACCCTGCAAACTGCTATCACCCTGCTTCCTCCTCCACACCCTGCTCTGTGGTAACATCTTTACTCTTTGGCCACTGTCAAAGAATATGGGTGACCCAAAATGAAAAGGGAGAAAGATGGGAGGAAAGTGTGGGAGAGGGAGAGACACAGAGACCATGTGACACTCACAGAAAAAGAAAAAGTCAGACACATAGACACCGAGAGGTACAGAGAAACAACGAGATACCAAGAGATCAAAAGGACACATTGTCAGAGACCAAAAAACGAGGGTGTGCCAGTTAGTGTGCAGATAAATTGGAAAATGAGGTTATTTCACAACTCTCAAAGTTATCAGGAAGACCCCATTCACTCCTAAGGTATTCTAGAAAGTGAGACAAGCTTTGCCCACTCCCCCTGGTTGACCAGAGGGCCCAGGCCAGCCCAAGGGGCTAAGGATCAGGAACCATCCAAAAAGAGACCCTTCCCCAGGGCTGTGGGCTGTAGATGCCAGCTAGTCACGTTGATGATCTCAGGAACTTGGTGTTCCCAGCAGGGAAGGGGGTGGCTGGCTTGATTCCAGATCTCATATTCAAGATACTGACTCCTGAGGGAACAGACTGGACAAAGGCAGCCAGACATCTTTATATTCTGGACCCACCAGACAGGCCGGCTTTTCTTCAGAATGGTGTCTCCTGGACTTTTGAGCATCCTGGTGCTATCCATCCTTCTAGTGAATGTCCAAGGATCAAGTCTGAATAATTGGCTCTTTCCCAGTAAGTACTAAGGCCTCAGCCCCCGGCCCTGGAGACAGGGAAGGTGGTTGGGAGCAAGGATCAGGGAACAATTATTCCTCAGACTTGAGCTGCTTTTCACCATCTTAGCCCTGGTCCTGGGTTGGGAAAAAAGGGAGATGTCTGGAATATTTCTTCCCATTTCCCTTCCCATGGACAATCCCATCCATGAATGCAAGAATGCAGACCTGAGCAATCCCTACTTTCAGCCCCTTTGAAGTAGAGGGTCTTTCTTGAGGGTGGGGGTGAGGGGAAGGGAAGAGTCATAGGATATAGCATTTGTGGGAGGGGCTATAGGAATCTGGAAAGCAAGGGACCTTCCCCTCTCCCCACAACAAAAATAGCCCCCTTTCTCTGGACATCATCCCTATCACCTCCTGATTCTTTCAAATTCTATAAAGTATCCCTGCCATCCCCAGGGCTTCCTTGACTTTGGGGTAAAGGACAGTATCCAGATGTTCCTTTGAACTTAATTAAGACAGTAATACTCCATGTCTAGAGAGCAATAATGATAATTGCTATCGTTTACCAAACATTCAGAAAGTAGGGATTTAAAGAGAGGGATCTGGAGTCAGACTTGGTGGGTCCCAATTCTGGCCCCACCACTTAGCAGCCATGAAACCTTGGGCAAGTTACTTAAATTCCATATGCTTCCACGTCCTCATCTGCAAAATGGGGATATTAATAGAACTTACCTTATGGGGGTTAAATGAGATCACCCATTTTAAATGTTTAGAAGAGTGCTTGGCTTATGGCAAATACTTAACAAATGTTAATGTTACTCTGATAATAGCTTCACATACTTTGTCTCATTTCTTCCTTACAACTCTGTAAGGCTAACATGATTTTACAAATGAGGAAACCAAGGTTCAGAGAAGGCAACTGGTAAACTAAGAGTTAGAATTTAAAAACCCAACTGTCTGTAGCCAGGGTGAGTGATATTAATAATTGTACGGGAGCGCTCCCTAGAGGAACTCCCAAACACTGACTCGTCAACAAGGCCAAATTGACCAGATCATTTAGACCAGTGGCTTTCAATAGGGTGATTTTGCCTTCCAGGGGACATTTGCAATGTCTGGAGACATTTTTGGTTGTTACAACTGGAGAATGCTACTGACATCTAGTGGGGAGAGGCCAGGAATGCTGCTAAATGACCTACAATGCACAGGACAGCTCTCCCCCTCCCATCAAATAATTACCCAGCCCAAATGTCACTAGTGCCAAGGTTGAGGAATCCTGCTTTAGAGGGGATGAGGCTAGGGGGTGGGACTAGCGATTAGGTAAAGAAGGTAGAGAGTGAGGGGTGGTTGGGAGGGAGGGTAGTGTAGGCAGCGCTGGGAAATACATAAGAGAGCACCCTGAGGAGGACTCTTCGGGATGAGCAAAGTGAAAGCAAACTTCCCTGACTGCCTAGAATTGCCTTCGGCCTGGGGAAGAGTGGGCATCGTGCTCTCTAAGACTCATGGTTGGTAAGACTATCTCTCCCCTAGAGAGATGCCCCAGAATCCGAGAGAAATGTGAATTCAGAGAAAGGAATGAATGTACGAAGGACAGACATTGCCTGAACAACAGGAAGTGCTGCGTCTTCAGCTGTGGAAAAAAATGTTTAGACCTCACGCAAGGTAATCTTCAGAGCCTTGGAATAATCAACCCTTCTACCCATGCCCTCACCTTCTGCCCACCTGGGTTGGCATTGTCCCTGGTTTGCCAAGGGCTGGTCCCTGAGCAAGAGACTTGGGAGACCTGGAATCTGTATTCATCACTGCCCCTAATATGATGTCTGACATTAGGAATTCTCTTCGTCCTGTCTGGGCTTTCATTTCCCTAGACGAAAGATGGGTGCAGGGTGGGACTGAACCGAATAGTCTCGTGGCTACTTTCCACTCTTATGATTTCCTGAGTCCCCAGGTGGCCATTGTTGGCCCTCCATATACCAACGTGGTCGCTGCGAGTGACGATGAAGTAATTTGTATTGCCTAGGTTTATGCTCCAGAGTGACCACCTCTCTGCCTATACGAATCCAACTTAGCACCAGGAAACTCCCCTTGACCACTCTAGACCGGAGGGTTTCTCCTTTGCTGCTGCAATCTTCTCTCCATGCCCATCTCCCTGGGCTCCAGAGAGGCTATCAAAGAGTCTGTGTTCATTCGTTTAACAAATATGGATCAAGTGTCTCTGAGACCCACAATGGGATTGGACCAGTGCGGCCAGGGAGGTGGAGGATAACTTCCCTGAGAAAGCAAACCTGGAGTTGAGTTCAGAAGAGCGGGTAGTAAATCTAGATCAAAAGTGGGTGGAAGGACTTTCCAGGCACAGAGACTAGCGTGTACTCAATAGCGGGGTCTGGGAGTATGAGCGTGGTACAAGGGGGAAAGATAGTAGGTATGTATGGTCTGGTGGGCTAGAGTCTCACTGTCATCCTCAGAGCAATGGAAATCCATTGACGTGACCAGGTTTTTACTATGCCTACAGAGGAGGAAAGGAATGTCTTAAAGGACTTCGGGATGAAAGAAAACACTAGCTTGGACTAGAGAGGTAGCTGAGGGGATGGAGAAGAGTGGGGTGCATTTGAAAGGTATTTAGGAGGAAAGTAACTAGGACTTGACAATGGGGCAGAGTGAGAAGGAAGGAGGATGGGAAGTTGTTCATTTGCCTGCAGGTGAGGGGTTCTGAATTCAGACTTCCTGAGTTCAAATCTTAGCTCCAGCTTGCACCAGTCTATTTGTCTCGGGCAAATGACCAACTTTCCCCTCATTGTGCCTCAGTCTCCTCAGATAATAAAAGGACCAACATTAAAGGTTATTTGGAGGATCCAATCAGCTGCTACACATGAAGGGCTTAGGGCAGTGCCTGGCATATAATAGCCAGGTGACACGCTAGCTTAAATTATTTGTCATTCACAACTGGGAGCTTATAAATAGCAGAAGCCATGCCTTTTCTTTGTCTCTTAAAAGCATTAGCACATAGTAGGTGCTCAATGAATGGCTTATTCAGTTCAAGTCAAAGATTCTTCATTCATTCACTGTTTTACCCTCAATATTCTGCCAAATCCTATACTGTGCCAGACTGCCTGCTAGGAATGGGGTTCCAAGATGAAATCAGACACAAACCTGCTCATTAGAAATTCACAACGTCATGGGTGAGACCAAAGATGTAAACAAATGACAAACATGCCCACGAGATTCAGAAGCACCATAGGAAAATTCAGGGTCAATTCAGACACATGTTGGGGCATGGGATGCAGAATGGAGTCAGAAACACCACAGAGGAGTTGATGTATGAGAAAAGTTTTGAAGGGAGAATTGGAACGTCACTAATGACCAAGAGCAGGGTGGGCAGAGGGAGTATGGAGTGAGAGGTGTGGAGGTGTGGGGCAGCATGGTGTGCTGAAGGTTGCGGGAGCAAAGCATGTAGCTCAGAAGGGTACTATGAGGAGGAGGAGGACAGAGCCACAACAGGAGCCGGATCATGAAGAACAAATGAGTCGACTTTGTCATGAAGTCAAGGTCTTAGCTGTGGAATGATGTGATCTGCTTTGTTTCAGCTCCATCAGGTTGTTCTCTCTGGCAGACAGCATGAAGGATGGGTCGGAGGGGCCAGGGACGCAGGCAGGAAGGTCAATTCAAAGCTGTCTCAACAGCCAGGCATGAGACACTGAGACTTAAATGAATGAGTGGCAGGTGTGATACATGTATACAATAGAATATTACTTGGCTATTTTAAAAAAAGAGTAAAATCTTACCACTCACGACAACATGGATGGACCTAGAGGGTATTATGCTGAGTGAAATAAGTCAGACAGAGAAAGACAAATACCATATGATCTCACTTATATGTGGAATCTAGAGAACAAAATAAACAAACAAAACATAAACAGACTCAAGATACAGAGAACAAACTGATGCTTGCCAGGTGGGGGAAACCTGGGTGAAAAAGGTGAAGGGATTAAGAAGTACAAATTGGTAGTTACTAAATAGTCACAGGGATGCAAAGTAACACATAGAGAATACAGTCAATAATGTTGCAACAGCTATGTATAGTGCCAGGTGGGTACTAGACTAATCAGGGGATCACTGCATAAATTATATAAATGTCTAACCACTATGCTATACACCTGAAACTAATATAAAATAATAGTGTCAACCGTAATTGAAAAATAAAAAAAAATTAATAAAAATTTAAAAGGGAGTGGCAGACAGGTAAGCTACGAGGAAGTAAAAATCAACAACAGGACTTAACTGGCTGCAGGGAATTACTCCATGAAACTCACTTTTTAGGTCAGGCTTGTGTCAGTTTGCTAGGGCTGCTGTAACAAAGGACCACCAACTGGGCGCCGTAAACAGCAGAAAATGTATTGTCTCCCAGTTCTTCAGGCTAGAAGTTCAAGATCAAATGTTGGCAGGGTTGGTCCTTTCTCAGGTTGTGAGGGAGACTGTTCTATGCCTCTCCCCTAACTCCTGGTGGTCTGCTGGCAATCTTGGCTTGTAGACCGCTGTCCTAATCTTTACAGGGTGTTCTCCTGTGTGTGTGTGTGGCTGCGTCCAAAATGTCTCTTTTTTATAAGGACATCAGTCATGTTGGATTAAGGATGCATCTTACTCTAGTATGACTCATCTGAACTAATTACATTCCCAAATAGGGTCACATTCTGAGGTGCTTAAAGGTTGGACTTTACTATATGAATGGACAGGGGGGTGTGATGCAGTTCAACCTATAACAGGATTGAAGCTAGCTGCAGGAAAAAAAGGTGCTTGGCCATCTGAAAAATTACCCCTGCCCTTTACTCATCATCCCATATTTTCTTCTTGGTATGGTTTGGAGGGCAGAGTAAATGACTTATCATTGGTCATTTTCAAGGCACTTCCATGTCTTTTGTCCATTCAGGACCTATTTATCGAGCAGCTACTCTCTGCCAGGCACTGTGCTAGAAGCTGCATGTGCAGATACAATCATAGAGCTCACAACTTAGAGGGCCGGGAGGGTGGTCTCACTTGCCCATCAAGGCAGCCCTGTGCAACACGCAGGGTGGGATTTTGCATGCCCATTTTACAGAAAAGGAAGTCAAGCACAAAGCAGGTAACGTTTGTTCGGGAGGTTGATAGGCACACACTGAATTAGGAGCAGAGCCTTGAAACCAGAGTCTCCTCATTCTCAGGGGAGGCAATGAAATGAAGCCAGGGACCAGAAGGGAAGGGGGAGACCAATGTTCTCCCGGGATGTCAACACCCAAACAGCTGCGCTTTGGAGCCTCCCTGCAAATGTGCTCAATACATCAATGCAGCTGGGACCCCAAGGTGTGTGTGGTAAAGTGTGAGGAGCCTGCTCAGTTTCATCTAGGGTGGTTGCTGAAGGGACAAGAACAGCTACAGTTTTGGGGGGATGGGCATTCTAAGCTCTCCACTCTGGGGTCTCCCTGCAGACGTATGCAATATGCCAAAAGACTCCGGTCCCTGCATGGCTTTTTTTCGCCGTTGGTGGTATGATAACAAAAACAATACCTGCTCCAGTTTCATCTACGGTGGCTGCCGAGGAAACAATAACAACTTCCAGACCAAAGCCATATGCGAGAACATGTGCCCCCAAAAACGTGAGTCCCAAGGGCCCCTGTCTCCTATCCTTGCCAGGGCCATGCGGGGAGATCTGAGTGTTGGCTAGTCCATGCAAGGATGGCCACATGCTGACAGAACCAGCTCCAATCAGGAGGTAAGAATACATCTCACAGAGGGTTAGACGGTGGCTTTCTGGGCACTGAGATTGGGAAGGGGTGGGGTTGTGTATCAAAGCTGGCAAGTATGAGGAATGGAGAGACGGTGCAGACTTGGTGAGATCTCACAGACCAACTTCAGAGAGGCCACAGGACATCCAGCCTAGCACTGGACATGTTGACCAACCACCCCAGGCCATTAATTTCCAGACCACCGATGTCCTCTTTACAACTCTTTGTTAGTAATCCTCTCCTATCCACATCCCATTATTCCTTTAAGGAGACTTACAGCTTCCCAAATGAAACCCACTTTCTTTTAATGTCCTGTGGAAAGATGTACAAACAACTTCAAGACTAGTTCCAAAGATAAGTGGAGCCCGAGATGCTCAGCTGGTCCTGTCTTACATTCACAACAGGCGTCCTCTAATCCTGAACGCGGAAGGATACACCAGAATGACTGCCAGGGTTTTGGCTCACGATCCAAGGCACTTTGTCCGCGTGCCTGACTGACGTTCCAGGTTGGCTTCCTCTATTCCAGCCCCATCATGCCAAGGCCTCAGCCCTTCCCCCAACTGAACCCGGGGATCTGCCTCCCCCTTCTTCCATCTCAGCCTCTTTTCTTACATAATAGCCTTCTGTTTTGAACCCATTTCTATGCCTCCTTCCTTTATGTCCAACTTCTAGAACCTTTGTTTATACCTGTGTAGCTCCCAATTTTTCCCAATAAAGTACTCTGTTTGGTCCTGTGCCTCGGAGGCTGACTAATTCACATCTGTTGGCACATTATGGTTTGTGGAGAGTGAAAAGCTCGCGGAGGCTTCCGGAGACACCGTTAAAAGGAGTGAAATAAATCAGAACCTTGAAAGTTGTTATGCTCCTCTGTCTCTTCAAACAATTGTAAACCCTTTTAAGACAAGGGCCATGGGCATTGCCTTAGTTTGGGTCCCGCAGTAACCTAGCCTGAGACAGGGCATAGGTGAAAGTAGTTTATTTGGGAGATGAAGGCGGGGGCGTGGGGTCAGTGATACAGGAAAGAAAGGAGTCGGTATGAGCTGGTCACCACTGTGGGACGTGGGAGCTTAATCCCATCGGGGACCTTCTAAGGAAGTGTGTGAAACATGCCTCCACATTTCCTTCATCCATATCCAGTTATGGGGCAGCTGAGTGGTATATCCACTGGTCTCCATCCCCTACTGGATGCCCTGAAGTATGAAATCCCACGTTCTTTCAGGCTGTTCTGCAGGCAAGCTGAACAAGCTCCCAGGAGCCAGACAGAACCCACAGCATACAAGTAGAGACTCTGATGCTTGAAGTGAAAAGGTATCAGTGTGCACTGAATATTATTCAGCCATGAAAAGGACTGAAGTGCTAATACATGCTACACTGTGGATGAACCTCTAAAACATCACGCTGAGTGAGGGAAGCCAGGCCCCAAAGGTCATGCACACTACGATTCCATTGACATAAAATATCCAGGATAGGTAAATGCATAGAGGTAGAAAGTAGATTAGTGGTTGCCAGAAACTGGTGTAAGCTAGGGGAAAACAGAGAGTGACTGCTAATGGGTGTGGGGTTTTCTTTGGGAGTGATGAAAATGTTTGAGAACTAATAAAATAAAGATGGTGGTTACCCACCATTGTGAAGCTACTAAAAAGCCACTGAACTAGTCATTTAAAAATGGTTAATTTTATATGATGTGAATTCCACCTCAATTTTAAAACATGGATTAGGAAAAAAGAAACGAGCACTAGAACTGTCTCCTGCAACTGCAGGTGAGCTGAGAGTACGTCTTGCTGATGCTTCAAGCCTTAAATTGGAAAGTTCAATGGAACAATCTTAAGGCCCCGCCCATTGATGCAGCCAGTTCTGAGGTCATAACTGACATTTATTATTTCTCTCCTGTATCACCTATTCCAAATTGCACCAGACGAGAGAAGCTCTCCATTAGCTCTAACAATCTCTCCTGCTTGCAAAGCACCATGATCTTGACATACACTGTCTGAAAATTCGGTTCAAATCTGGAATCAGCTTGTCTCCTCTCCTACATGCTACACATGGCAATACCTTTCCTCTTTGATGATAGTCAAAGAAGAGGGGTGGCCTGAAGAGAGAAAAGAGGAAAAGGACAGAAGGGAAATGGAAGAGCAGGGAGAAAGAGACCCAGATAGAGGGAGACTCACAGAAAAAGAGAAAAAGACAGGCATGGAGTAAAAGAAAGAGGCCAGAGAGGGAAAAAATAAACAGTGTGAGAAAAATAAGCAGACAGGAAAATAGACGTGTCAGGAGAAGAGTAAGATTACAAAGAAAGACATAACTAGGATACTCTTGACCTCCAATCTCCCCCTGAAAAATGGAATACGCAGTCATCAAACATCTTCCCTGATGTTTGTCTAGATGAGAGTCTAGAAGTCCCAGATAAGCCCCTCTCCCTGGTTGACCAGAGAGCCAGAAGGCCTCAGCTGGCTGAGGATTAGGTGCTGCTTATCAAGAACCCCTTCTTGCAGGGTTGATGCTGTGAGTGCCAGCTAGTCCACTGATGGCCTCAGGGACTTGGCGTTCCCCGGAGGAGGGAGGGTGGCTTATCTCTAGTGATGTGTGACTCCTGGAGAGTTAGGCTGTGCCAGGGCAGCCAAAAGCTCAGAAGCAGCTGCTGCTGATCAGTAGTTCTTAGTTTTGGTGTTGCTAGCCAGGCCGGCTCCTCCTATTATGGGGCCCTCGGGACTTCTGCCAATACTGGTACCTTTCATCCTCCTGGAGAGTGTCCAGAAACCTGGGCTGGTTGAGGGGTTCATGATAAGTAAGTATTGAGTGATGCGACCCGCGCACCAAACGAGCATTCCTGACTCCTCAGCCAGGAGTCTACCGAGAGGGTACCTGAGAGGATTGGGTGGGAGAGTGGAAAAGAAAGAGACTAGAGACGAAAGCTGGGAACGGGAGGTCCACCCAATGCTGATAGCAGAGAGTGGCCCTGTTTATTGTTTATACACAGCTTTTATAGCAAAAGTAACTTTCCTTAGGTAGGGGGGTTTTGGGAACTTGAGGGAATAGTCCCCTCCTCCCAGGGAACAACTCCCCCAGGACTTTCCATAGGGTGTGTGGAAGCAACTTTCCCAGGGTTAAAGCAAAACATAACAAGCAGAAACTGTTCGTTAATAGGATGGCATTCCACTCTGTAGCTTTCAAGGCCATTGGCTGTTTTCTCCTCAGCAGCCAACCTTCCCATGCTGCTCACCGGGGCCTGAGAGCCTGTCAGCCTGCCAGCTTTCAGGCTTAACCCTTACTACAAATCTCCGGCTCCCTACAATTGAGGACTCAGTCCTCCCAGTGGAGAAATGGAACTTGGCTGGGTGGAAGGAACAAAGAATTCTGCAGACGAGGAATGCTTTCTTCCACCTCAGCCTGGCATCCTGGGTGGGAGAGGGGGAGATATTTGGAGTCATCCTTCCAGCCCCCTTCCTCCTGGTAAGATGCCCTCTGTGAATGCAGGAACCTGTCTGTGGCAACTGACTCCCCACCATCATTATGAGAGGAAATTTCACTTCCTTGAAGTGCCGGGACCTGGAGCTCATTACAGACTAAGGGAACTGGGAAGCTTAAGGGCCTTTCCCATAAGAAAGGCCACTCCCCCAGTGACACCCTCATTAGCTCCCATATCTTTCTGTTGCATCCCCCAGAAGCCTTCCCATACCCACACCCACACCCACACCCACAGGGGACCCATGCCTTTGGGGTAAAGAATGGTCTCTGGAAGTGACTTGCAATGCCGAGCTAGGAAGACCCCCATAATTAGCAGCTAAAATATCCAGAGCACTCAGACAGCAGTGGAGCCATCCATTTCAGGTTCATATCCTGGCTCTATTCCTTAGTAGCCACGTGACCTTGGGCAAGTTCACACAACCTCCCTGGGCTCCAGGTTCCTCTTTTTATAAAATGTGAATATTAATCGGGCTTACCTGTAGAGTTGTAATGAGGATTAAGGAGAAAAGGACAAGACCACAGTAAGTGTTTCATCATGATTAGTTATTATTATTACGCCCCAGGCAGCTTAACAAGGGCTTTACAGGCATTGTCACATTAATCCCCCAAACAAACCTATGGGCAAATGCAGGAATCAAGGATCAGAGATGGTGCCGGCCATACCAAGGACTGCACAGAATTCGAAAGCCCAGCCATCTGACTCCAGAAATGGAAATCTCAATCACCACGAGCTACGGCACCCCTGCCCTCAACCAGGGAGCGTCCAAATCCAGGAAGGCAGGGTGATCAGACGGTCCTAGGGAGAAGTGTCCTTCTCCTGGAAACTGTGGGCGGGGAGGGTAGGGGTTAAGGCTGGATTTGGAGATTTGATGGTGGGTGGTGTTGGGGTTGGGAATGGGGGAAAGAGGTGTGCAAATCATGAGCTGCCTGAAGGTCACTACTTTCTGGGGACAATGAAGTGAAAAAAACCTTCCTTAACTCTGCAGTGGTGCCATGGGCCTGGGAATGGAGGGCTCTGGCTCCTTCAAGATTCCTTATTCCCCTCCCTCAGGGATATGTCCCAGTAACAAAGTAAAATGTGAATTCGAAGAAAGGGACCAGTGTAGGAAGAGCTTACCTTGCCCGCGGAAGATGAAGTGTTGCAAGTTTAACTGTGGAAAGAAATGTTTAGACCTCAATGAAGGTAATTCACAAATCCCCTGAACTATCCAATTGCTGCCCACCTGCACTGGCATCATTGGACTCTTTCCTTGGTTCCCTGATGGCTGGTGTCTGACCAAGAGTCTGGGTGCATCTTCTGCTTGATACAAATCCTATCAGTGCTGGACTGGGGTGGGTGTGGGGCTCATGGGTTTTAGTTCATTTCTGCTCCTAGTTAGGTATGTGATACAATAGTTTTTCCATTACGGGCCTTAGTTTCTCCATCTATAAGGAAGATATGAGCATTAGACCATATGGTCTCTTGGCTCCTCTTCTGTGATCCTTTGAGATGCCAAGTAGCCAGTGAAGTCCCATCAGATGGCAACATGGTGTCAGGTGATAGGATAGCAATAAGTGACAGGTATACGATTTTTATTTCCTGGACTTTTTCCCCCCAGGCATCTCTGTCTATAAAAACCCAAGATGCCTTCCCTAACCTTTGACCTCCTACACTTTTTCCTCTCTGTCTATATCACTGGACCCTAAAGAAGGTCATCAAGGAGTATTCATCCATTCATTCATTCATTCCACACATATTTACTGGTGGCCCTGACACACAGGATGGGCTCCACTTGCTCAGTGTAGCCAGGAAGCTCAGGAAAGGTTTTCTTGGGAAAGGAATCCACGATTTAAGATCTGAAAGATCTTAAACTGTAAAGTTCTAAGGAACTCTGTTTGCACCTCATAGCACTATGCACAAAACAGTTGCTCAATAAATGCTTCTTGATGTTCAGGATACATTTGATTTTTTACTGTGAACATTCCTGAAGCATCCTATCCACTCAGTGCCAAATTATCTGCTAGGGACTGGTGTATCAAGATGACCTAAGACACAAATCTCACATTCTCTTGGAGGGGTCAGGATATATGAACAAATAATTACACAGAAGTGGTAACTGTGTGTGCAAGATTGAGAAGCAATAAAGAAAAGCAAGGTTGGGGCAGCCAGTTAGCTCAGTTGGTTAGAGCACAGGCTCATAACACCGAGGTTGCCGGTTCAATCCCCACATGGGCCACTGAGATGTGTCCTCCACAACTAGAACGAAATAACTACTTGACTTAGAGCTGATGGGTCCTTGAAAAACACACTGTTCCCCAATTTAAAAAAGAAAGAAAGACAAGCAAGGAGTGAAGAACAGAGCCAGGAAAGATATTATAGAAGAGTTTGATGTCTGGGAAGGATTTTGAAGAGTGAAAAGAAATGCACCTTGTAAGCAAGAGTGGACTGGACATTCCAGGCATGGGCTGCTCTAAAATATCACACTCTTACACTACTCCATGCCTTTGCACATGCCTGGAATGTTCTCTAGGGAGGCAGGCACCCAAACTGATCTACTCTGTGGTCTCCTTGCAGACATATGCAGTTTGCCACAGGTAGCTGGCCACTGCATGGCCTCCATTTCACGCTGGTGGTATAATAAGACAACTCAGATGTGCTCCAGATTCATCTATGGCGGTTGCCAAGGGAACAATAACAACTTCCAATCTGAATCAATCTGCAAGACCATCTGCTCCAAAAATTGTAAGTCCCAGGGCTCCCAGTCTTCCATGCTCACCTGGGCCACACCAGGAGGTCTGGGTGTGGGCTGGTCTATTCCAGGAACTTGGCAGGTTTGGGGCTGACACGACCAGTCCAATCAGGAGGGAAGATTGCACCTCACAGAGGGGCAAGTAGAGGACGTTTTGGGGAAAAGAGGGTGGGAAGGGGAGCAATAGTCAAAATTGGCAAATATGAGATGAATCGAGGGTGCAGAGAGAGGAAGCAGAAGTGGTTGGAGAGGAAGGCCCAGTGACTCAGCCCAGCGCCGGGCACCATCATGAGCTAAGTCACTCCAGGCCTTTACTTCTAACCGAATCTCGTCTCCAATTCTCCTCCTCTTCCTTCTTAGGTGAGTATAGGCAGGACAACCACAGGCTTCATTGACCAAACCAAGACACTTTAGAGAGTGAAAGGGGATTAATTATTATGCTGGGCCAACAGGCATAAATGGGGGGCTCTACTGGAAAAACCAGAACACATGATCACTCTCTGAGCCCCCAAAGCCACTCCACTTCTGCTTTCCTGTGAAAAGATGTAAAAAGGATCTCATCTCTCTTTTTCCATTAACTGCAAGATTTTATTCCTAAGGGGTTTAGGGCCCACGTACCTCACCCTTTTCTATCCTGCTATCTTGCAGAGTCGTCATCTTTTCGGGTAAGATAACCTGAGCTGGCACAGCCCCCAGGATTTGGCTCATAATCCAGGGCTCTCTCCACGTGTGTCTGACTGATGCTTCATATTTGTTTTCACGTATCAAATCTCAGCTGCCAAGATCTTGGCTGTTCCAAACACCGAACTCCAGGATTTGCTTACTCCCTTTCCTCCAGCTCAGCTACTCTTCAAACATAACGCCCTTCACCCTTGGACCCTTTCACAGTGTGTGACCTTGTCTCTTCAACTTTCCAGGCCCCCATTTATCCTTTGGAAGCCCCCACTTTTTCCTAATAAAGTGCTCTGTGATATCTGCTATCTCTGAGGCTGAATAATTCACATCTACTCCCTGTGTGCAGTTTTCAGAGAAGAAGTCACGGGGTCTCCTAGTGACGCCAAAAGAGGAGTATGAAAATCCTGCAAACTGAAAACTCTGGTGACACTGTTGCCCCGGTAACGTTGTTATGAAGAGACTTAAGAATGGAACTGGAGCAGGTCTAGGTTTTGTATGGTTTAAAGCTTACAAAGTTAGGGAGTTCCTTTTTAAAATAAATGCAGATTTAACGTAAAAGTGAATGTTATTTCAAATGAGAAAAGAAACTGCAACCAATTCCAAATGTTAAAAAGCTAACAAATACCACAAATTGCACAAAATCCATATAGATTCATTATCAATTAATTTTTTACATTTATGACAGCAATTCTGTAAAACTCAATTTCTATAGAAAGATAATTTGGTCTTTTGTTGAACATGGCTGATGTTCAACAAAAAATGATTATATTTTGATTTTGATTTTGATTATAGTTGGGATGCATAAAATACATGCCTGAATGCCCAGCCATACTCGATATTTATAGTTCTACTACAGGTTTGTGCCTTAAAAACACAGGAATTTAGGGGCCGCCGGTTAGCTCAGGTGATTAGAGTGCAGGCTCATAACACCAAGGTTGCCGGTTCAATTCCCACATAGGCCAAGGACCTGCACCCTCCACAACTAGACTGAAGACAACTACTTGACTTGGAGCTGATGGGTCCTGGAAAAACACACTGTTCCCCAATGAAATTTCTTAAAAAACAAACAAACCAAAAAAACCCACAGGAATTTAAATAAATTCTCTTTTGTACAATTCCATCAAAAACATAAAAAATGCAAGCTGCCTTTAAAATTGTACATATTGAATTATGGAGTATAGTCTTGCAAGTAAAGAATGCCTGCTCTAACAGGCTTCTATAAGAATTGATATTTTTGTACTTATAAAGTTACATATCTGATGTTTGAAAGAATTTTCCACAGCCTGATTTTGCTGGTGCCATAGCTCTCAAACCCTGTTTCTCCTCCACCACCCACATTCTTCCAGGGTAGGTACATTCTACATACAACCTCTAGCTCTCTGCCTTAATGTCACCACGTCAGAGAGCTGGCACAGGAGCTGATGGGGATATTGCTTAGAGCCATTCCTACACCAGGACAGGTAGCAGCAACTTATGATACACAGAAATGATTGAGAACAACCTAAATATATCCTACTAACTCTGTTTTATATGTATTTAACTCTGGAATAGAAGAGTACCCTGCAGCTGGAAGTGGATGTCATTTGATGGACAACCCGGGAATTCTGCTCCTCTAGTATCAGGAAATATATACTAAAGACATTCTGAAATCCTGAACCTCTTCCCATAAATAAGAGCTTTGTCTGTAAAATGGGAACTGTACCCATAATAAGTGAACGCTAGGTACTGGCAGCTTGGGCCTATTTGTGAGTTTGGGTCTACAAAGAGAAAATCTTTGTTGAACAAGGTTATATGTGTACAGATGCATCTTTCTTCTTATTTGAATATTATATAATTAGTAGAAAGCCTATGGTTTCTGCAAGGAAGTTAATGCTCATTAAATCAAACTGTAATAAATAAATAAATAAATAAATAAATAAGTCAGAGTCCCAAAATTCATTCATACACATACCATCTAGAAGTAGAGTCTACAGACCCTCCCTTTGAATCTGGGAAAACTCTGTGACTGCTTTGACCACTACAGTAAAGCCCAATGACACCGAGTGACTTCCAAGTTTAGGCCAGAAAAAGTGTGACTCCCACTCGATCCTCTTAGGATGCTTGTTTAGGGGGCACGGGGGGGCAGCTGCCATATAAGAGGTCCAGCTACCCGGAGACAGCCATGCTGGAGAGGCCTGTGTGGGTGCTGTTGTCAACAGCCCTGGCTAAGCTCTACCTGCGAGCCAGCATCAGTTTCCAGCTCTGTGAACAAGCTCGCCACCCAGCAGGGCCTTCCATACCCCAGCAGCCATCTGAATGCAACGGTGTGAAGATCCCAAGAGAGAACCACCAAGCTGATTCCTTCCCAAATTCCTCACCCACAAAACAGTGATAAAAATGAAATGATTGTTTTGAACTAAGTTTAGGGGAGATTTATTCGCAGCGAGAGGTAGGTAATTGGAACAGATGGGAAGGAAGCAGAAGGAAGGGGCGAGGAGACGAGGGGAAGGAAGGGGGAAATGGAAGCATGGAGAAGTCTGGAGGAAGGAAGAAAGGGGTCCCAAAAAGACTGGGCAAAATAAAAGGGTGTCAGCCTTGAGAAGGAGCCCCACAGCAGGAGGCTTGGTCACCACAGCACACCAAACCCTGGATGTCTCTTTTGAATAAGTTCATTGTTCAGTATGACTTAAGTCAAGAGGCTCTTAAAGTGAGGCTGGGACCTAATTACTGTTGAGTAAGGCCTTTCCTCTCATCTCTGTTTCTCTCTCTTTAAAAAGGGCTGGTTAAATTAAAAACTGGGTAGAGGAGCTCTCTCAGCAGGAGGCGGCTCCGGTGGTTTGTTCAGCCATGGCCAAAATTAAGGCTCGAGACCTTTGCGGCAAGAAGAAGGAGGAGCTGCTGAAACAGCTGGACGACCTGAAAGTGGAGCTGTCCCAGCTACGTGTCGCCAAAGTGACTGGTGGCGCGGCTTCCAAGCTCTCCAAGATCCGAGTTGTTCACAAATCCATTGCCCGTGTGCTCACCGTCATTAACCAGACTCAGAAAGAGAACCTCAGGAAATTCTACAAGGGCAAGAAGTACAAGCCCCTGGATCTTCGGCCCAAGAAAACACGAGCCATGCGCCGCCGGCTCAACAAGCACGAAGAGAACCTGAAGACCAAGAAGCAGCAGCGGCAGGAACGGCTGTACCCACTGCGGAAGTACGCGGTCAAGGCCTAAGCATCACAGCATCAATAAAGCACAAACTGGCTGGAAAAAAAAAAAAACTGGGTAGAGGATATGAATATGTATTTCTCCAAAGAGGACATACAGATGGCCAATAGACATATGAAAAGATGCTCAACATTGCTAATCATCAGAGAAATGCCCATTAAAACCACAATGAGATACCACCTCACACCTGTCAGAATGGCTGTCATCAATAAATCAACAAACATCAAGTGTTGGCAAGGATGTGGAGAAAAGGGAACCCTCGTGCACTGTTGGTGGGATTGCAGATTGGTGCAGCCATTGTGGAAAATGGTTTGGAGGTTCCTCAAAAAATAAAAAATAGAATTACCTTATGACCCAGCAATTCCATTTCTGGGTATTTATCTGAAAGAATCCAAAAAACTAATTCTTAGAGATATACACACCCCTATGTTCACTGCAGGTCTATTTACAATATATGAGATATGGAAGCAACCCATGCTGTACATATATACAATGGAATATTACTCGGCCATAAAAAAGAATGAAATCATACAATTTGTGACAATATGAATGGACCCAGGGAGTATTATGCTGAGTGAAATAAGACAGACAGAGAAAAACAAATACCAGATGATCTCATTTATGTGTGGAATCTAGAGAACAAAATACAGAGAACAAACTGACGGCTACCAAATGGGAGGAGGGTTAGGAGGCCGGGTGAAAAAGGTGAAGGGATTAAGATGTACAAATTTATAGTTAAAAAATAGGGCCAGCCGAGTGGCGCAATGGTTGAGACCTGGTTTGGGACGCCAGAGGACCCCGGTTCGGATCCCACATATGAGGGCCAGTGACACTGCCCTCCACAGCTAAGATGCTGAACAACAGCTCAA